TGTTCCAAATATGGTCACACACACATCACAACTTAAAGGGAAATGGGGGTGGGCTGAGTGGGTCTTTATGTGTGTGTCAGGCCTTCCACACCCTGGTTCTTGTGATCACGCAGTAGTGCACAGATACAAAACAGGTCCGCACAGGTGACACCTGGAAACCTATCCACCACATCACAGAGGTCACCATCTGTCTCCCACACGCTCGTTCACATTTTCACACAAGTCAAATCACACAAGACGGAACTGGGGGAAGTAACCATGCAGTCATTTCCCAGGGGTACAAAGAAACTCACGTAGAGCCCTGCAGAGCCCTGGCCCAGGGTCTGAGACCTGTCTGAAGGCCCCACCGACGACCAGCCACACACTGGGAGAGCCGCCTCCTTCCCCGGGTCTGCACGGTCCTGAGCTCCCAAGTAACTCGAGTGGACTCCAGGGTTGAAAGAGGAAATGGTCGTCCCAGATCTTAGAGAGGCTGCCAGGCTGGGCTCTGGGCCTGAGCTGGGGCCCCCACACTGGGCCCCTCGGCCCCCCACCCTCAGCCCCTTCTGGCTTCCCCATTGGCAGTAGAGAGGGAGGGAACTTCATAAGTCACAGAGAGGGGCTGAAGAAGACAGAGAGTCAGACAGATGGAGATGAGAGAGACATAGGGAGATGGCAGAGATAGGGAGAGACACAGGGAGGCAGATGAGAAGAAACAGGGATGGGACCAGACACAGAGAAAGGAAACTTCTTTAGTTTCCATCTTTAGTTATAAATGATGAAGGAGACAACTAATGACAGAGACAACGTTGCAAGAGGGAGAGAGAGATGGGGGAAGACGAATGGGAGGGGAGACACATCTAGGGGAGAGGAGGAAGAATTGGGGTGCCAGAGAGAGCAAGGAGGGAGAGGAGGCCGATGGGGGAGGGGAGAGCAATGCTCAGCCCAGCGAGGGGGTGTCCCTTCCCCCCACTGCAAGGTTTTGGGGAAGACGCCAGAGGCCTGAGGCCAAGACTGAGGCTTTGAGCGGAAAGAAGGAGGGGGCGAGTTATTCACGAAGCGCCCGCCTTGCCCTGAGTTTCCAGAAGGTGATGTGGAGTTTCCATCCCTCAGCCCGTCTGCAGTCAGGGGTACCCAGGGAGGACAGCTGGCCCAGAGGAGCTGTGGGACAAAAATGAATGATTGCCACAGTCATTCCCTCCAGTGGCTTCTCCCCAAGTACGTGGCGCCAGAGCGCCCAACATTGTGCGTATATGCTCGCTCCTAATTCGTGAGCCCGGGGGATATTATCATCCTTACTTTGGGAGGAGCCTCGGAATGCAGAAAGTGGTTTTAGCCCAGCTGGAGGAAATGGACCGAAGCGGGATTCGAACCGGCGGATTAGTTTCTCTGCAGCCCGGAGCCGCGTAGCCCCGCCCCTTTCTCCCTAGAAACTGGCACCCGTGTCTCCATAGCAACCGCTCCACCTGATTGCCCCTCCCCGCTCCCGGAGGCCACCTAGTGCGCAGGCCCGCACGATGACGACCCAGGCCGTGCCGGCTCTCAGGCGCCGGAAGTGAGCTGCGCAGCGCCGGAAGCGGCGGACACAGGAGGCCTCGTGGAGGACACAGCAGCATGGGACAGTCAGGGAGGGTAAGGCCCGGAGGTTTGGGAGGCAGGGGACGCAGTCGGGATCCCGACCGAGGTCGCGGCGCTCACCGTTTGTCTCTTGCCACCGCAGTCCCGGCACCAGAAGCGCGCCCGCGCTCAGGCGCAGCTCCGCAACCTCGAGGCCTATGCCGCGAACCCGCACTCGTTCGTGTTCACGCGGGGCTGTACGGGTCGCAACATCCGGCAGCTCAGCCTGGACGTGCGGCGGGTCATGGAGCCGCTCACTGCCAGCCGTCTGCAGGTCTGTACCCTACCCCCAGCCCGCCTCCACCCACCCTGGGCCCCGTCTTCGCGGCTGCAGTAATGGCTCCCGTATAAAACTGTGGGAGGCCTCAGTCTCCCCGGCTGGAAAAAGTGACCCTCATGGGGAGCATCATCTCTACCTTTCAGGGCTTTGCTGAGCTGGAGTGAGGGCGCGCAGCTTGGGAGATAGTTGGTCGCCTAAGCCTGACGGTTAAGACTGGAATCTGGAGCCGGGCGTGGTGGCTCATGCCTGTATTCCCAGTATTTTGGGAGGCTGAGGCAGGAGGATCACTTGAGCCCAGGAATTCGAGATCAGCCTGCGCAGCATGGCGAAACCCCGTCTTTGCAAAAAATAGAAAAATTAGTCGGATATGGTGGTGCATGCCTGTAGTTCCAGCTACTCGAGAGGCTGAGGTGGGAGGATTCCTTGAGCCCAGGAAATTAAGGCTGCAGTGAATCAGGATCATGCCACCTCACTCCAGCCTGGGCGACAGGAGGAGACCGTGTCGAAAAAAAAAAAAGAGGCTAGAATCTGGAGGCAGCAAAGCAGGGTTGGAAACTGTCTTCTCCCCAGTACCTGAAGCAAGTTAGTTAACCTTGCTGGGCCTCAGTTCACTCATTTGTCAATGGGAAAATGCGCTGTGAGCAAGAGGTAAGAGTTAGAACTCAAATCCGCGTCTGATTGACTCTAAAGGCTAAGATCCTTTTGCTCCTCTGGGCTTATTGAAAGGGTTTGATGCTAGACAGACCATAACAGGATTTGCACCGTCAGCTTATAGTCATCGCAATAAGGGATAAGCTATGTTTTCTCTTTTTCTTTTTGTCATTTCCAGGTTCGTAAGAAGAACTCGCTGAAAGACTGTGTGGCAGTGGCTGGGCCCCTTGGGGTCACACACTTTCTGATCCTGAGCAAAACAGAGACCAGTGTCTACTTTGTGAGTAGATGCCCTCACCCTTCATCTCCCCCAGACCCCCACTTCCCCCTTCTCTTATGATGAACACATGTGCCTCTGAGCTGCTGTGATTTCTGGCTTCAAAGTAAACGCTCTGAAGAAGAGATGGGGCAAAGGTGCCTACTCGCAGACTCCTCTGCTAGACCCCTCCAGCGTCACTGATCTTTTTTTCTCCTGCAGAAGTTGATGCGCCTCCCAGGAGGCCCCACCTTGACCTTCCAGGTCAAGAAGGTGAGAGGGGTGGAGGTGGTACAAAGCCATGTGGGGTCAGAGCTGGACTTGGGGGTGTTCCCAGCCATGTGTGGTTGGTGGTCACCCCCTCACTCCTGCCCTACAGTACTCGCTGGTGCGTGATGTGGTCTCCTCATTGCGCCGGCACCGCATGCACGAGCAGCAGTTTGCCCACCCACCCCTCCTGGTACTCAACAGCTTTGGCCCCCACGGCATGCATGTGAAGCTCATGGCCACCATGTTCCAGAACCTGTTCCCCTCCATCAACGTGCACAAGGTGGGTCTGGCCTGGCGAGGTGGCGGGTATGGGTGGGTGCAGCGGGTAGAGGTCCCACAGGCCCTCAGATGGATTGCTCAGTCCTCCCAGTTCTGAGGCTGAGAGCTCCTGGGTCTGCTGAGTCCTGAGGGCAAATCCCACTCCTGTGTCTGATGATGCTGGACAAAAGTGTCCAGAGATGCCCCCAGCGCTCCCCACCCCACGAGCTGCGCCTTTTCCAGCAGGTGGAGAGAAATACTGATGCTCTATTCCCCATGTGTGTTGAGTGCTGGACTGAGCAGGATCATAGCATCTCTTCTCATGGCCCTGTTTTACAGAGGGAAGCTGCAGGCCCAGTGCTATGGCTCAGGCCTGTAATCCCAGTACTTTGAAAGGGCGAGGTGGGAGGATCGCTTGAGCCCAAGACTTTGAGATAAGCTTGTGCAACATAGTGAGACCACATGTCTACAAAAAGTAGATTTTTAAAAAGCCCAGTGTGGTGACGCATGCCTTTAGTACCAGCTACTGGGGAGGCTGAGGTGAGGATCACCTTAGCCCAGGAGGTCGAGGTTGCAGTGAGTTGTGTTCATGCCACTCTACTCCATCCTGGGTGACAAAGGGAGACCCTGTCTCAAAAAAAAAAGCAAAACTGAGGCTGGCCAAGATGCTGATTTTAGATTCCAGGGCGCAGGACTGGATTTTTAAACTCGTCTGGCTCCTGGGTTCTAGCTCCTAATCTTTGGCACTAGTGACTCTCAGGTGGGACTTAGAAATTATGGAAGATATCAGTCATCAGAGAGTCTAATACGGGCTCAGGGACCAGGATTTCTTCTTTCCTTTTTTTTTTTTTTTGAGACGGAGTCTTGCTCTGTAGCCCAGGCTGGAGTGCAGTGGCCGGATCTCAGCTCACTGCAAGCTCCGCCTCCCGGGTTCACGCCATTCTCCTGCCTCAGCCTCCCAAGTAGCTGGGACTACAGGCGCCCGCCACCTCGCCTGGCTAGTTTTTTTTTGTATTTTTTAGTAGAGACGGGGTTTCACCGTATTAACCAGGATGGTCTCAATCTCCTGACCTCGTGATCCGCCCGTCTTGGCCTCCCAAAGTGCTGAGATTACAGGCTTGAGCCACCGTGCCCGGTTGATTTTTTTTTTTTTTTTTTTTAATTATTATACTTTATGTTCAAACCTGCACGTTCTTCCTTTTTTTTTTAAGAGACACGTCTCCCTACATTGATCTTGAACTCCTGGGCGCAGGCAATCCTGCAGCCTCCGCCCCCCCAAGTAGCTGAGACTACAGGCATGAGCCACCACGTCCAGCACATTTTTTCATCTACTTTTTGTAGACATGGAGACTCGCTATGTTGCCCAGGCTGGTTTTGAACTCCTGGGCTCAGGCAGTCCCCCCACTTCAGCCTCTGGAGTAGCTGAAACTGCAGGTGCGAGCTGGAGGCAGCATTTCTAGCCAGTGCCACAGTCCATGTACAGTGCATGCATCCCCCAAAGCCCCCACTTCCCCATACTTCGCCGTGAGCCTACTGGAGCATGCGCTGTTCCTCACCTTCCAGGTGAACCTGAACACCATCAAGCGCTGCCTGCTCATTGACTACAACCCTGACTCCCAGGAGCTGGACTTCCGCCACTAGTGAGTGTCCCAGCGGAATGGGGGACGAGGGGGTGCCGGGTGGGGGCCCCCGCGTGCGGCTGATGACAGCACTCCTGCTGAGACTCTGTGATTGCTGTGTCTCAAACGCCCTGACGCACTGGGAAGGGTGGGATGGGGACTGCCAGCCCCGTGTCCCCTGACCACTCCCTTGCCGTCCACTCACGTTCCTGCAGTAGCATCAAAGTCGTTCCTGTGGGCGCGAGTCGCGGGATGAAGAAGCTTCTCCAGGAAAAGTTCCCCAACATGAGCCGCCTGCAGGACATCAGCGAGCTGCTGGCCACGTGAGGAGGGCACAGGGCGGAAGGCCACTGCCGCCCGGGGACCCCAGAACAGGCCCGGGAGCCTGAGCTCCCCCACTGAGCCCTGTATGTCCCACACACAGGGGCGCGGGGCTGTCGGAGAGCGAGGCAGAGCCTGATGGCGACCACAACATCACAGAGCTGCCTCAGGCTGTCGCTGGCCGTGGTAACATGCGAGCCCAGCAGAGTGCGGTGCGGCTCACTGAGGTAAGGCCCGGGGCAGGGGACCCCTGTGTTCCCCCAGTCCCAACAATGGGCTGACACTTCTCCCTCATCCCCCTAGATCGGCCCGCGGATGACATTGCAGCTCATCAAGGTCCAGGAGGGCGTTGGGGAGGGCAAAGTGATGTTCCACAGTTTTGGTGAGTCCGGGGCCCGCGGGGGTGCGGGGTCGTGGGTGCCGGGCTGCATCCGGACCTTGGTGACCCGCGTCTCCTGGCTCAGTGCGCAAGACAGAGGAGGAGCTGCAGGCCATCCTGGAAGCCAAGGAGAAGAAGCTGCGGCTAAAGGCACAGAGGCAGGCTCAGCAGGCCCAGAACGTGCAGCGCAAGCAGGAGCAGCGGGAGGCCCACAGGTCCGGGCAGGGCTGGGCACGGCGGGGCCGGGGGATCCCTGGGGTGGGCAGCCACATTGACCCCCACCCCCTCCTCCAGGAAGAAGAGCCTGCAGGGCATGAAGAAGGCACGGGTTGGGGGTGGTGATGAAGAGGCCTCTGGGATCCCTTCGAGGACGGCGAGCCTGGGATTGGGTGAGGAGGACGATGACCAGGAAGATGATGACATCGAGTATTTCTGCCAGGCGGTCGGCGAGGCGCCTAGTGAAGGTATGGAGTGGGGTCTGCAGCGGGGCACCCAGAGCCTGTCCTTGTCCCTGGGAACCCTGACACTGTCTGTCCCCACAGACCTGTTCCCCGAGGCCAAGCGGAAACGGCCTGCCAAGTCTCCAGGCCGGAAGCGGCGGGAAACGGATCGAGGCAGGGGTCGTCTTTGTGACCGGAAGTTTCCCAAGCCCAAGGACAAGCCCCAGGGGTCCCAGACCAGGCGGGGGCCCAGAGGGGCTTCCCGGGATGGTGGGCGAGGCCAGGGCCGGGGCCGCTCACGGAAGAGAGTGGCCTGAGCCCAAGCTGCACCGGAGCAGTGGATGAACTGAACGCCCCAGATTGGGGCCCGAGAGACATGGCCCTCGGTTTCCTTTCATAAAGGAGTTGTGTCCCCCACCCTTCCACTCCAATAAACAACTGAACTGGATGGGGGATCCTGGAGCTCTGCAAAGCAACCCAGAGTCGCCTGGGCAGGTGACCCCGGGAGTCCCTCCCACCTGGTTTCTTCCTGGAAGCTGGGTCTCTCCCCTACCCTGCATGGGGTTGGTTTCATTGGTGGCAGTGGTGGTCATGAGGCCCCTCCCCACAGTCCCACCAAGAGCCCTGCAAGCAGACAGGTCACGCTTTCAGCAGATGAGCTTGAACCTCAAGAGGGCTGTGCACAATGAGGAAGGAAACGTGGGTGGAAAGGCACCCTGGCCTGCTCTGCTGGCTGGGCCAGGAACTGGGGGTGGGGCTGGGGCAGGGGCAGGGCCCGCTAAGCCACCAGTGACTGGGGGAGGAGCTGCGGAACTGGGTGGCAGACACAGGCTGAGGCTCGGCACGGGAGCATGGCAGCCAACGTCTCAGGTAAGAAGGCATGTTGGCTTTCTCTGGGGGTCTGTGGTTAGCCCTGCAGATTGTCAGGAGGTGGGGGCGGTGGGGCATGGGTATTGGTAAAACCTAGGTCTGGGGGGGGGGCACAGTGGCTCACGCCTGTAATCCCAGCACTTTGGGAGGTTGAGGCGGGCAGAACATGAGGTCAGGAGTTTGAGAACACCCTGACCAGCCAGAAACCCCATTGCTACTAAAAATATAAAATTAGCCGGACCTGGTGGCACGTGCTTGTAATCCCAGCTACTCGGGAGGCTGAGACAGGAGAATCACTTAAACGCGGGAGGCGGAGGTTGCCCTCCAGCTTGGGCAACGAGCAAAACTCTGTCTCAAACCTGGTGGTGTGAGCCTGAGATTCCAGCTACTGGTGAGGCTGAGGCAGGAGGATCACGACCCCAGGAGGTCCGAGACTGCACTGAGCTGTGATTGCACCTCAGCCTCGGTGACAGTGAAATCCTGTCTCCAAAAAAAGCCAGTCTAGACGACACTTCCTCCCTGAGCAGGCTGGCGTTGGGAGTCCTCCGGAGGAGCCTGCCCCGGCCTGCGGTGGCAGGAGTGGGGTGTACAAGGAGTGAGTGCCCCTGTGGTGCTGGGCCCCGGGCACTGCGGTGAGCACTGGCGCCAGTGGTGTGTAAGCAGGCCCCCCCATTCTCCCGAAAGGGAGATTTTTCTCACTGTCATCAGGTGAGGCACAGGGTATGGGGGAAAATACCGCAGGGAAGGGAGAGTGGAGGGCACATAGTGGTTAGAGTGGCCTTGGGCCCTCTCACAGGCAAGACCACAGACGTGGGGAAAGGAGCCTCAAAAAAGTCTGGGTGAGGCCAGGTGCGGTGGCTCATGCCTGTAATCCCAGCACTTTCGGAGGCTGAGGCGGGCAGATCTGAGGTCAGGAGTTCGAGACCTCCTGGCCAACATGGGGAAACCCGATCTCTACTAAAAATACAACATTTAAAATTAAACCAGGCGTGGTGGTGGTTGCCTGTAGTCCCAGCTACTCAGGAAGCTGAGGCAGGAGAATCACTTGAACCAGGGAGGCAGAGGTTGCAGTGAGCTGAGATCGCATCATTGCACTCCAGCCTGGGTGATGAGAGCGAGACTCTTGTCTCAAAAAAAAAGAAAAAAGAATGTCTGGGTATGAAGGTCCCAAGGCACAAGCCTGCAAAAGCAGCCGGGAAGCCAGGGTGGGCTGGCGCGAGGGAGTGAGTCGTGGAGCACAGAGGGTGGCACTGGGGGGTATGGCGGGCGGGAGTGCTCTTGTGGGACCTTGTGGGGTGAGTCTGGCTTTTTGGCGGCAACTCTGTGGCCAAGTGTGAGCACCTGGAAGCCAAAGGATGGGGACAGAACTCTGGTGCTCGCAGGTGCCCTCTGGTGGCCACAGGGAGAAGAGGCTGTGGGCGGCGGCTAGTGCTGAGGTCGGGGCAGGATGCCGGGGCTGGACCCCACCCCGGTGGGGCCTCAGACGGCACAGGTTTGAAGCGGAGCCAGCAGGCCTTGCCGGGGCTGGACTTTGAGGCGGCGGCCTCTAGTGAGGCCAGGGACTCCCACAGGCAGGTGTGGTGCGGGAGCAGGGTGGCCACTGCCCATGTTACCGGTGGACCCTGAGCTCCAAGACTGCCTGGCCTGCCTCAGCTGGTTCCTCGGGGCCCAATGCAGAACCCCGGCTCTGAGCCCAGACCTGTCCATATAAAGGAGTGGAGCCCGGTCTCCTTCCAGGGAGGGGAAAGAACTTGTGTCAAGGAATCCATGCCATGGCAGACGTGGGCTCTGGGGGCAGCAGGAGCTGCCATGTGGGAGAATAGGGCTCAGCTGGTGACACCTTCTGCCCACAGATGCCAAGTCCTGCCCTGCCAACTTCTCGGCAGCTGCCGACCACATCCTCAGTGGGTTCCAGGAAGACTTCCTGTGGCCCATACTGGTGGTTCAGTTCCTGGTGGCCTTGGCCAGCAATGGCCTGGCCTTGTACCGCTTCAGCACCCGGGAGCAGCGCCCGTGGTACCCCGCCGTGGTCTTCTCAGTCCAGCTGGCAGTCAGTGACCTGCTCTGCGCCCTGACGCTACCCCCGCTGGCCGCCTACCTCTATCCCCCCAAGCACTGGCGCTATGGGGAGGCCGCATGCCGCCTGGAGCGCTTCCTCTTCACCTGCAACCTGCTGGGCAGCGTCATCTTCATCACCTGCATCAGCCTCAACCGCTACCTGGGCATCGTGCACCCCTTCTTCACCCGCAGCCACCTGCGGCCCAAGCACGCCTGGGCCGTGAGCGCCGCCGGCTGGGTCCTGGCCGCCCTGCTGGCCATGCCCACACTCAGCTTCTCCCACCTGAAGAGGCCACAGCAGGGGGTGGGCAACTGCATCGTGGCCAGGCCCGAGGCCTGCATCAAGTGTCTGGGGACAGCAGGTCACAGGCTGGAGGCCTACAGAGCATACAGCCTGGTGCTGGCGGGGCTGGGCTGCGGCCTGCCGCTGCTGCTCACGCTGGCAGCCTATGGCGCCCTCGGGCGGGCTGTGCTACGCAGCCCGAGCATGACTGTGGCCGAGAAGCTGCGTGTGGCAGCGCTGGTGGCCAGTGGCGTGGCCCTCTACGCCAGCTCCTATGTGCCCTACCACGTCATGCGTGTGCTCAACGTGGATGCTCGGCGGCGCTGGAGCACCCGCTGCCCGAGCTTTGCAGACGTGGCCCAGGCCACAGCAGCCCTGGAGCTGGGACCCTACGTGGGCTACCAGGTGATGCGGGGCCTCATGCCCCTGGCCTTCTGTGTCCACCCGCTGCTCTACATGGCCGCGGTGCCCAGCCTGGGTTGCTGCTGCCGACACTGCCCTGGCTACAAGGACAGCTGGAACCCAGAGGACGCCAAGAACACTGGCCAAGCCCTGCCCCTCAATGCCACAGCTGCCTCTAAACCGTCGGAGCCCCAGTCCCATGAGCTGAGCCCGTGACGTAGCCTAGCTGAAGCCGCCGCCTGAGGACAGGACCCCAGCCCCAACATGCCCCTTCCCCCAAAAAGCAACACCTGTGGTTGCAGCCAGCTCAGGCCCAGCTGCAGCCCAGGCAGGAGCAGTTGCCTTTCCCACCCAACAGCGCTGGCCACAGGGCTCCCTGCAGCGTCAGGGAC